TTGGGGATTGCGTGATAAACCTCCGGGTAGACGCTGTGCCTCCCAGGAGTCACGTATATCCCCTGTCACAGGCTGAAACGGAGGCTATGGAAACATACTTCACCGAGTCCATGCGCCAGGGAAATATATGTCCCTCCACTTCACCCGCCTCCTCAAGTTTCTTTTTTGTGAAGAAAGATGGCGTCTGCGCCCTTGCATTGATTATCGACCACTGAACAAGGAGACTATAAGATGTAGTTGTCCTCTCCCCCTCATTCCTTCAGTGATCGAGTCAATGCATGGGGCGCGCTTCTTCACCAAATTACATCTCAGGAGTGCGTACAACCTGGTGCGTGTCCGAGAGGGGGATGAGTGGAAGACAGCATTCAGCACAACCACGGGGCATTATGAATACCTGGTGATGCCCTACGGTTTGATGAATGCTCCATCCGTCTTCCAGTCCTTTGTGAACGAGGTGTTTCGGAACATGCTTGGTTGCGGTGGAGTGGTCTACATCAGTGACATTCTGGTGTATTCTGCTACGCGCACCGAGCATGTGTCCCTGGTTCGCAAAGTGATGGCCCGACTGTTGGAAAATGACCTTTATGCCAAGGCAGAGAAGTGTATGTCTTTCCAGCACTCAGTTTCCTTCCTCGGATACCGCATTACCACCTCAGGTGTGGAGATGGAGGGAGATCGCATTTCAGCCATGCGTAATTGGCCGACTCCCACCACAGTTAAGGAGGTGCAGCGCTTTCTTTGCTTCGCCAACTACTATCGGAGGTTTATCCGGTGCTTTGGCAAGGTCGCAGCTCCCATTACATCTCTGTTGAAGGGTGGGCCGTCCCGGCTCCGCTGGTCTGCTGAGGCTGACAAGGCCTTCAGTAATCTGAGGGGTCTGTTCACCTCAGCCCCGGTACTGGCCCACCCCGATCCATCCCTACCGTTCGTAGTGGAGGTGGATGCGTCCGAGGTAGGGATAGGTGCTGTCCTATCTCAACGCTCGGGCACGCCACCCAAGCTCCGCCCCTGTGCTTTCTTCTCTAAGAAGCTCAGCCCGGCGGAGCAGAACTACGACGTTGGTGATCGGGAGCTGTTGGCTGTTGTCCGAGCCCTGACCGTGTGGAGGCATTGGCTCGAAGGGGCGAAACACCCTTTCCTCGTCTGGACGGACCACCGTAACCTGGAGTACATCCGGGCAGCGAGGAGGCTGAATCCTCGCCAGGTCAGGTGGGCCCTATTCTTCACCAGGTTTGATTTCACACTATCATACATCTCGGTTACGAAGAACGTGAAGGCAGACGCATTGTGACGGCTGTTTGACACAGAGGAGAAGTCCAGAGACAACACCTATACTTCTGGCCTCCTGCATTGTGGCGCCGGTAGTATGGGCGATGGCCACGGATATAGAGCAGGCGTTACGCACAGAGCCATCTCCACCTCAGTGTCCAGCTGGGCTGCAGTACGTGCCTGCTCTTATCCGTGAGGGTGTATGTCTCCTCCTGCTCGGTGTGCGCCCAGAGTAAGGAACCTAAGCACCTCCCAGCGGGTAAGTTACAACCTTTACCAGTTCCACAACGACCATGGTCTCACCTGAGTGTTGATTTCCTGACTGATCTTCCCCTCTCGCAAGGTAACACCACCATCCTGGTCGTTCTGGACCGCTTTTCCAAGGCCTGCCGCCTCCTTCCTCTGCTCGGTCTCCCCATGGCCCTGCAAACTGCGGAGGCCCTGTTTACACACATATTCCGGCACTACGGGGTACCAGAGGATATAGTGTCTGACCGAGGTCCCAAGTTCACATCCAAGGTCTGGAAGGCGTTCATGGAACGTCTGGGGGTCTCGGTCAGCCTGACCTCTGGTTTGCACCCCGAGTCTAATGGGCAGGTGGAACAGGTAAAGCAGGATGTGGGTAGGTTCCTGCGGCCCCACTGCCAGGACCGGCAGGGGGAGTGGTCGGTGTTCTTGCCATGGGCTGAATATGCCCAGAACTCTCTGTCACTCTTCCACTAACCTAACACCATTCCAATATGTTTTAGGTTACCAACCGGTTCTGGCACCGTGGCAACAGAGCCAGACCGAGGCTCCTGTGGTGGATGACTGGTTTCGGCGCGCAGATGAGACGTGGGACGCTGCCCACGTCCACCTCCAACGCGCCCTGCGTCGTCAGAAGGCCAACGCTGACCGCCACCACAGTGAGGCCCCGGTCTTCGTACCGGGTGATCGGGTCTGGCTCTCGACCCGGAATCTGCTCCTCCGCCTGCCCTGCCGGAAGCTGAGCCTGCGGTTTGTGGGGCCGTTCAAAGTCCTGAGGAGAATCTACGAGGTTACCTATAGGTTATTACTCCCCCCGATTACCGTATTAACCCTCGTTTCATGTGTCTCTCGTCAGGCCGGTGGTGGCTGGTCCGCTCCAGGAGTCTGAGGTGCGGGAGGTGCCTCCACCTCCTCTGGACATCGAGGGGGCCCTGGCGTACTCCTTCCGTTCCATCCTGGATTCGAGGCGTCGGGTGGGGAGCCTTCAGTACCTCGTGGAGTGGGAGGGGTACGGTCAGGAGGGATATCCTCAATCCCTCCCTGTTGCGGGATTTCCACAGTCGCCATCCGGCTCGCCCTGCTCCGCATCCTCTTGGCCATCCCCGAGGCCGGGGTCGGCACGCTGCTAGAGCTGCGCGTCAAGGGGGGGGTACTATCACGACTTCCTCTGAAGCTGCCTCCCCTCCTTGTTCAGGCAGGCTTCGGCGTTCGTCGTCACCGGCCTTCTAGCCACTGACGCTCCATATCTCTTCATTCCCTTTGTCTTGTCAATTGCACACACCTGGTTCATATTCCCCTCATTAGTACATGTATAAGTGTTCCCTAAGCCCCCTTGTCCTTGTGGGTGATTGTTTCATGTGAGATGAGTGTAGCTCAGTGGAGCTACCTGTACTTTGTATTGCCGGGGTATATTTTCCCCGTGTGCCTGTATTTGTTTCAGTGCGCCTGTTTTGCGCACTGGACTGTTGACGCTATCCAGCGTAACTGTGTACTATGGAATAAACTCTATTCTGTGATTTACCCTCCTGCGCCTGACTCCTTCAAATCATACACTCACATGGGTTACCATTAAAAAGGGTATTTCCATGATCTAAGCCATACGATTATCCTTAATTCACTCGATACTTATTAGATGTAATATACACTGCTCAAAAAAATTAAGGGAACACTAAAATAACACATCCTAGATCTGAATGAATGAAATAATCTTATTAAATACTTTTTTCTTTAACATAGTTGAATGTGCTGACAACAAAATCACACAAAAATTATCAATGGAAATCAAATGTATCAACCCATGGAGGTCTGGATTTGGAGTCACCCTCAAAATTAAAGTGGAAAACCACACTACAGGCTGATCCAACTTTGATGTAATGTCCTTAAAACAAGTCAAAATGAGGCTCAGTAGTGTGTGTGGCCTCCACGTGCCTGTATGACCTACCTACAACGCCTGGGCATGCTCCTGATGAGGTGGCGGATGGTCTCCTGAGGGATCTCCTCCCAGACCTGGACTAAAGCATCCGCCAACTCCTGGACAGTCTGTGGTGCAACGTGGCGTTGGTGGATGGAGCGAGACATGATGTCCCAGATGTGCTCAATTGGATTCAGGTCTGGGGAACGGGCGGGCCAGTCCATAGCATCAATGCCTTCATCTTGCAGGAACTGCTGACACACTCCAGCCACATGAGGTCTAGCATTGTCTTGCATTAGGAGGAACCCAGGGCCAACCGCACCAGCATATGGTCTCACAAGGGGTCTGAGGATCTCATCTCGGTACCTAATGGCAGTCAGGCTACCTCTGGCGAGCACATGGAGGGCTGTGCGGCCCCCCAAAGAAATGCCACCCCACACCATGACCGACCCACCGCCAAACCGGTCATGCTGGAGGATGTTGCAGGCAGCAGAACATTCTCCACGGCATCTCCAGACTCCAGTGTGAACCTGCTTTCATCTGTGAAGAGCACAGGGCGCCAGTGGCGAATTTGCCAATCTTGGTGTTCTCTGGCAAATGCCAAACGTCCTGCATGGTGTTGGGCTGTAAGCACAACCCCCACCTGTGGACGTCGGGCCCTCATACCACCCTCATGGAGTCGGTTTCTGACCGTTTGAGCAGACACATGCACATTTGTGGCCTGCTGGCGGTCATTTTGCAGGGCTCTGGCAGTGCTCCTCCTGCTCCTCCTTGCACAAAGGCGGAGGTAGCAGTCCTGCTGCTGGGTTGTTGCCCTCCTACGGCCTCCTCCACGTCTCCTGATGTACTGGCCTGTCTCTTGGTAGCGCCTCCATGCTCTGGACACTACGCTGACAGACACAGCAAACCTTCTTGCCACAGCTCGCATTGATGTGCCATCCTGGATGAGCTGCACTACCTGAGCTACTTGTGTGGGTTGTAGACTCCGTCTCATGCTACCACTAGAGTGAAAGCACCGCCAGCATTCAAGTGACCAAAACATCAGCCAGGAAGCATAGGAACTGAGAAGTGGTCTGTGGTCACCACCTGCAGAACCACTTCTTTATTGGGGGTGTCTTGCTAATTGCCTATAATTTCCACCTGTTGTCTATTCCATTTGCACAACAGCATGTGAAATGTATTGTCAATCAGTGTTGCTTCCTAAGTGGACAGTTTGATTTCACAGAAGTGTGATTGACTTGGAGTTACATTGTGTTGTTTAAGTGTTCCCTTTATTTTTTTGAGCAGTGTATATGTCTGGAGCCAAGGCCTACCCTGCCTGAAAGCAGAACCATGTATTATTCAGAGATGTGCAATTGGAGGAAAACCTGACAGAATCATGGGCTGGAATTAATTCAATAAATGTATGGGTAGAAGCATACATTACATCAGCCGAGATCATAGTTTCCTTACATTTATTAAAATATGCGGATCCTGAATCTAGATAGAAGCAAACTAAGCATTCAGAAATCTATAAATGTGTTTATAGTCAATTTTTCTTATACTAAATATATACCAACATTATAATATTTTAAATCAAAGGTGTTTTTTCCCCCTAAAATAATAGTTTTATCATACTGAATATTTGTGAGAGAGAAGCTTTCTCCCCATGCTGTGTTGTAGGGCTATACTCCTGTGTTGTAGAGCTTCTATACTCCTGGGTGAAATGTCCTTTGTGGCAGTCCTTCTCTTTTTATATTGTGGTCAGCTCTTCACCAATAATGTCAGCAAAAATACTTTTGCAGCTGTCTTATAAAATCTTAGAAACCCTATTGAAGTATGATGGACAGAGCTATGAGGATCACAAATGTTGGAGCTCCTTTTCTTCTTAAGCTCGAGAAAAACGTCCCATCCCTGTTTAGAGTCCTCCAGCTTTAGTACGAGTTTCTCACAGTGCACTGCACAACCTCAGGCTCTCACATTGCACACACTCACTCAGTTTTGAGTCTGCATGGCCCTCCTCTGTGACGCCATAGCGATGGACTTCCTGCGTAATGCGGAGGCGGCGGCCTCAGTGATGCCATTATAACTGTCGGTCTCTGCCGAGTCCTCGCTGTTCTGAGACTTGGTGGAGTCCTGGAAGTCTGGTTTCTGTCTCAGCATTCTGTTCTGATCCTCCTTCAGCTCCTGGTAGGACCGAGAGAATGTGTGGAAGATGGAGGTGACGGGGAATGCCATCAGGAGGATCCCACTGAGGATGCTACTGAGCGCCACCACCTGACCTGGGATGCTCCGCGGCACCATGTCCCCGTACCCCACCGTTGTCATGGAGATCACCGCCCACCAGTAGGTGCCGGGGATGCTGGTGAAGTCGTACTTGGCGCCCATCTCGCTCTCCGCCAGGAACACTAGCGGGGAGAATAGTGCCATGGCAACACACAGGAAGAGGAGGAGCAGGCCGAACTCGCGGGTGCAGCGTCGGACTGTCAGGCCTAAGGTCTGCAGCCCTAGGGAGTGGCGCGCCAGACGCATCACGTAGAAGATCCTCAGGGCCCGGAGTACCCGCAGCACCAGGCCCACCTTCTCCAGGTAGTTGTTCCCACCGCTGGGCTTCTCCCCTCCCTCAGACAGAGAGTCTACGATCAGGGTGATGTAGTAGGGCAGGATAGCCACCACGTCAATGATGTTGAGGGGCGTCTTCAGGAACATGCACTTGCTCGGCGTCTGGATGAAGCGCAGCAGGAACTCCAGAGAGAACCAGGCCACACACACCGTCTCCAGGACAAAGATATTGTAGCACCTCTGAGAACACTCACCCTGGAAGACAGAGGAAACAGTGTTAAGAAACACTCAGTGGAAGAGAGCGAACGCAGTGTTAAGGGTTTAAAAAGTGTTATTGAAAAAGTTAAGGTGAGCAACAATTATAATGCAAGACATTGTTAGGAAAATGACAATACATTCACTATTATAAAACACTCTGGACAACTGTTTCCTAATCACACAAGTCAGTTGTTCCTATCCGGCTCGAAGGACCAGTTCAAGAGCCACCAGACTCCTCTACAACAGGAAAAGAGACCAGTTTCTTTGATCAAACAGCCAGAGGGAGATGTGCATTTTTCTTCCTGTGTATTATAAAATTATACTTTAAAATAATTAATAAAAGCTGAGAGGAGAGGCTTTGATGATGTCAGAGATTCATTGAGGTTGAACACTGATTGAGGAAACACTATTCCCTTCCTTTAATTGACAAGACCAATGGGCTATACAGTACAATGTACAACTCCTTTAGACAAACCATCCTGGTAGCAATATCTGGTCATACATTCAGAATCTTTGTACCCAAGATATAAATTACTGGTGTCCATCCACAATAAATAAAGACATACAAGTGACAGATCCATAGAACTCATCCAGCCAAAGTCAACAGCAACGTGAAGCTGAGGGGAAACCATAGATTCCTTCCCTTCCCCTTCTCTCTCCAATGTGGCCATTATTAATTATATTAATGCAACTTCATTAAGTGAAAATAATTTCCTTCCAGGGATCAGCGGGGACTAAGCTAAAGCCAACTGTGACTAAATTATAAATATATTATAAATACTTTAAATTTACTTCTGACATGCTGAAATATCCTTAATTCCTGTAGCATAATATATTTTCCGTCTGCTCTAAATGGGTCCATAAATATTATATAACTGTAATTACATGTGATTATGAAAACAGGCCCAGAAGGAGAACTGGTAGCAAGGAGGAGGAGGGGGTGGAGGAGGGGGTGGATTAGTAAAGCCATCTATAATGATTTATTTGTATAAAAGAAAGAAGCCAAGCTGTTGGTCTCTTCTTTCATTGCACTGTCGCTCTGGGGTACCTAGCTACGCTTCATCAACATGTTTAAGAACAAGCATAAAATAATGTCTTAATTACTTTTGGCAACTTTCTGTAACTTCCCTCTAGTTTCCTTCAGTTCCATCATACATTCTACTCAATTACTCCTTAAATGTTATTAGGGAACATGTGTTTTTGAGCAGCTGTTGAGCTCTAACCTGTTAGAGAATCATCACTCGTGAATAAGATGCAAAAGGTGCTTAAAAACAACAACCAACAATATGCATCTTAATAACCAATCCAGTGTATCCTTGGAGACATACAGTCGCATAGTGAGGATGGAGAGTAAGAACAGAGCTGGGGGACGTTTAGATTATCATTATTCTAGTAAATATAATTTAATCAAAGCAAAGCTGTGTATCTGAAAGGCTAAGGCGGCAGAACAGAAATAAACATTCACAAATATATCAACCAGAGGAACATTTCTTTCTTCCATGTTTACTAATCCAGACAACATGCAACCACTTCACTATGCTTGGTTATTCACAGAGCACAACAGTAAACCCACTGGGCACAGATGTAAATCAAAACTTAACCAAATGTCATTTCAACATCTAGTTATCAACTGACGTGAATTCAACGTGAAGTTAACAAAATATGTCACCATGTCATTGGATTTAGATTAAAAGTTGGGTAAAACAAAAATGAGGAAATCCCCTTGAGTTGATGACTTTTGCAAATCAAAATCAGTTTTCCACGTTGATTCAATGTCATCACATTGATTTATTTTGTTAAAATGACGTGGAAACAATGTCGATTCAACCAGTTTTGCCCAGTGGAAAGTGTGTGCGCGCGTAAAACATATTTACAATTTGGCCATTTGTTGTTGTAGTTACGTTGTCCTTTGATGGGAATCTTTCTAGTCGAGTAGGCTACATGTACCGCATGCACCTGCCCCCCCCCCCCCCCCCTTCCCTATGCCCTACAGTGCACTATGATACACCGACATCGCTACAGTGGATCAAATTAAAAACACACAATTCTCTGATTCAGCAAACACGCTACTCTGACCGTATCAGAGCTCCAGACAGGCGTGTAGCAGACATGTAGCGTGTTAACCAAACTTTTTCCACTCAGGCCCCCCTGTGCGTGCGCCATGTCTATTTCTATGCACACAAGCACTGTTCATGACACAATCTGTTTACACCCCTCTTGTTGGATGGAGAGAAAATGTTGCAGGTTTAAAGCGAGGTGAGGAGTGTGAATATCGCAGCTATGTACATGGCGGCCATATTGAATTTCAAGACTTCTCCATCTGAGAACACACATTTCTTTGGTCTAGATTCTCCAACTTCTGTGTTAAATATTTGTTCCAAAACCAGAACACTGTTAGACAATAACAACACACCAAGACTTGTCAGCAGTGTAGAATGTGGTAGATAATGATCTGTTAGTTGTTTCCACGTGTTGTCAGAGCTATGGTACATTCTCTGTGTGAAGGAGTAGTAATCACTGTAATTTGTATGAATATATTTTGTGTTTATATACTGTATCTAGGATCCTAAAATGTCAATTAATGGTCACATGTAATTCCAGTTAATTGATATTTTCCAATCAGCTTAATCTTTGTTTGTTTTAATGTTAGACTGAGTGGATTTGTATTTATTATGGATCCCCATTAGCTGCTGCCAAGGCAGCGTATACAATTTAAAAAACATTACATTCACAGATTTCACAACACACTGTGTGCTCTCAGGCCCCTACTCCACCACATATCTACAATAGAAAATCCATGTGTACGTGTGTGTATGTTATCGTGTGTGTGTGTATGCATGTGTCTGTGCCTATGTACAGTGGGGAGAACAAGTATTTGATAACCTGCAAAATCGGCAGTGTTTCCTACTTACAAAGCATGTAGAGGTCTGTAATTTGTATCATAGGTACACTTCAACTGTGAGAGACGGAATCTAAAACAAAAATCCAGAAAAATCACATTGTATGATTTTTAAGTAATTAATTTGCATTTTATTGCATGACATAAGTATTTGATACATCAGAAAAGCAGCACTTAATATTTGGTACAGAAACCTTTGTTTGCAATTACAGAGATCATACGTTTCCTGCAGGTCTTGACCAGGTTTGCACACACTGCAGCAGGGATTTGGGCCCACTCCTCCATACAGACCCTTCAGGTTTCGGGGCTGTCGCTGGACAATACAGACTTTCAACTCCCTCCAAAGATTTTCTATTGGGTTCAGGTCTGGAGACTGGCTAGGCCACTCCAGGATCTTGAGATGCTTCTTACGGAGCCACTCCTTAGTTGCCCTGGCTGTGTGTTTCGGGTCGTTGTCATGCTGGAGGACCCAGCCACGACCCATCTTCAATGCTCTTACTGAGGGAAGGAGGTTGTTGGCCCAGATCTCGCGATACATGGCCCCATCCATCCTCCCCTCAATACGGTGCAGTCATCCTGTCCCCTTTGCAGAAAAGCATCCCCAAAGAATGATGTTTCCACCTCCATGCTTCACAGTTGGGATGGTGTTCTTGGGGTTGTACTCATCCTTCTTCTTCCTCCAAACACGGCGAGTGGAGTTTAGACCAAAAAGCTATATTTCTGTCTCATCAGACCACATGACCTTCTCCCATTCCTCCTCTGGATCATCCAGATGGTCATTGGCAAACTTCAGATGGGCCTGGACATGCGCTGGCTTGAGCAAGGGGACCTTGCGTGCGCTGCAGGATTTGAATCCATGACGGCGTAGTGTGTTACTAATGGTTTTATTTGAGACTGTGGTCCCAGCTCTCTTCAGGTCATTGACCAGGTTCTGCCGTGTAGTTCTGGGCTGATCCCTCACCTTCCTCATGATCATTGATGCCCCACGAGGTGAGATCTTGCATGGAGCCCCAGACCGAGGGTGATTGACCGTCATCTTTAACTTCTTCCATTTTCTAATAATTGTGCCAACAGTTGTTGCCTTCTCACCAAGCTGCTTGCCTATTGTCCTGTAGCCCATCCCAGCCTTGTGCATGTCTACAATTTTATCCCTGATGTTCTTACACAGCTCTCTGGTCTTGGCCATTGTGGAGAGGTTGGAGTCTGTTTGATTGAGTGTGTGGACAGGTGTCTTTTATACAGGTAACGAGTTCAAACAAGTGCAGTTAATATAGGTAATGAGTGGAGAACAGGAGGGCTTCTTAAAGAATAACTAACAGGTCTGTGAGAGCCGGAATTCTTACTGGTTGGTAGGTGATCAAATACTTATGTCATGCAATAAAATGCAAATTAGTTACTTAAAAATCATACAAATGTGATTTTCTGGATTTTTGTTTTAGATTCCGTCTCTCAGAGTTGAAGTGTACCTATGATAAAAAATTACAGACCTCTACATGCTTTGTAAGTAGGAAAACCTGCAAAATCGGCAGTGTATCAAATACTTGTTCTCCCCACTGTATGTGTTGCTTCACAGTCCCCGCTGTTCCATAAGGTGTATTTATCTGTTTTTTAAATCTAAATTTTACTGTTTGCATCAGTTCCTTTATGTGGAATAGAGTTCCATGTAGTCATGGCTCTATATAGTACTGTGCGCCTCCCATCGTCTGTTCTGGACTTGGGGACTGTGAAGAGACCTCTTGTGGCATGTCTTGTGGGGTATGCATGGGACTCCGAGCTGTGCACCAGTGGTTCAAACAGACAGCTTGGTGCATTCAACATGTCAATACCTCTCATAAATACAAATAGTGATGAAGTTAAATCTCTCCTCCACTTTGAGCCAGGAGAGATTGACATACATATTACTAATGTTAGCGCTCTGTGTACATTTTACATTTTTACATTTTAGTCATTTAGCAGACGCTCTTATCCAGAGCGACTTACAGGAGCAATTAGGGTTAAGTGCCTTGCTCAAGGGCACATCCAAGGCCAGCCGTGCTGCCCTGTTTTGAGCCAATTGCAATTTTCCTAAATCCCTTTTTGTGGCACCTGACCACATGACTGAACAGTAGTGCTGGTGCGACGAAACTAGGGCCTGTAGGACCTGCCTTGTTGATAGTGCTGTTAAGAAGGTAGAGTAGCGCTTTATTATGGACAGACTTCTCCCCATCTTAGCTACTGTTGTATCAATATGTTTTGACCATGACAGTTTCCAATCCAGGGTTACTCCAAGCAGTTTAGTCACCTCAATTTGCTCGATTTCCACATTATTTATTACAAGATTTAGTTGGGGTTTAGTGAATGATTTGTCTCAAATACAATGCTTTTAGTTTTATAAATATTTAGGATGAACTTATTCCTTGCCACCCACTCTGAAACTAACTGCAGCTCTTTGTTAAGTGTTGCAGTCATTTCAGTCACTGTAGTAGCTGACGTGTATAGTCATCCACATACATAGACACACTGGCTTTACTCAAAGCCAGTGGCATGTCGTTAGTAAAGATTGAAAAAAGTAAAGGGGCCTAGACAGCTGCCCTGGGGAATTCCTGATTCTACCTGGATTATGTTGGAGAGGCTTCCATTAAAGAACATCCTCTGTGTTCTGTTAGACAGGTAACTCTTTATCCACAATATACAGTGAGGGGAAAAAAGTATTTGATCCCCTGCTGATTTTGTACATTTGCCCACTGACAAAGAAATGATCAGTCTATAATTTTAATGGTAGGTTTATTTGAACAGTGAGAGACAGAATAACAAAAAAAATCCAGAAAAACACGTCAAAAATGTTAAATTGATTTGCATTTTAAATGAGGGAAATAAGTATTTGACCCCCTCTCAATCAGAAAGATTTCTGGCTCCCAGGTGTCTTTTATACAGGTAACGAGCTGAGATTAGGAGCACACTCTTAAAGGGAGTGCTCCTAATCTCAGCTTGTTACCTGTATAAAAGACACCTGTCCACAGAAGCAATCAATCAGATTCCAAACTCTCCACCATGGCCAAGACCAAAGAGCTCTCCAAGGATGTCAGGGACAAGATTGTAGACCTACACAAGACTGGAATGGGCTACAAGACCGTCGCCAAGCAGCTTGGTGAGAAGGTGACAACAGTTGGTGCGATTATTCGCAAATGGAAGAACCACACAATAACTGTAAATCTCACTCGGCCTGGGGCTCCATGCAAGATCTCACCTCGTGGAGTTGCAATGATCATGAGAACAGTGAGGAATCAGCCCAGAACTACACGGGAAGATCTTGTCAATGATCTCAAGGCAGCTGGGACCATAGTCACCAAGAAAACAATTGGTAACACACTACGCCATGAAGGACTGAAATCCTGCAGCGCCCGCAAGGTCCCCCTGTTCAAGAAAGCACATATACAGGCCCATCTGAAGTTTGCCAATGAACATCTGAATGATTCAGAGGAGAACTGGGTGAAAGTGTTGTTGTCAGATGAGACCAAAATCGAGCTCTTTGGCATCAACTCAACTTGCCGTGTTTGGAGGAGGAGGAATGCTGCCTATGACCCCAAGAACACCATCAAACATGGAGGTGGAAACATTATGCTTTGGGTGTGTTTTTCTGCTAAGGGGACAGGACAACGTCACCGCATGAAAGGGACGATGGACGGCGCCATGTACCGTCAAATCTTGGGTGAGAACCTCCTTCCCTCAGCCAGGGCATTGAAAATGGGTCGTGGATGGGTATTCCAGCATGACAATGACCCAAAACACACGGCCAAGGCAACAAAGGAGAGGCTCAAGAAGAAGCACATTAAAGGTCCTGGAGTGGCCTAGCCAGTCTCCGGACCTTAATCCCATAGAAAATCTGTGGAGGGAGCTGAAGGTTCGAGTTGCCAAACGTCAGCCTCGAAACCTTAATGACTTGGAGAAGATCTACAAAGAGGAGTGGGACAAAATCCCTCCTGAGATGTGTGCAAACCTGGTGGCCAAATACAAGAAACGTCTGACCTCTGATTGCCAACAAGGGTTTTGCCACCAAGTACTATGTCATGTTTTGCAGAGGGGTCAAATACTTATTTCCCTCATTAAAATGCAAATCAATTTATAACATTTTTGACATGCGTTTTCTGGATTTTTTAGTTGTTATTCTGTCTCTCACTGTTCAAATAAACCTACCATTACAATTATAGACTGATCATGTCTTTGTCAGTGGGCAAACGTACAAAATCAGCAGGGGATCAAATACTTTTTTTTTCCCCTCTCTGTAGCAGGGGGTGTAAAGCCATAACACATACGTTTTTCCAGCAGCAGACTATGATCGATAATGTCGAACTGCAAAAATCTATGAAGCTGGAGACACTTATCTCCCTCACTAACTTTAAGCATCAGTTGTCAGAGCAGCTTACCGATCACTGCACCTGTACACAGCCCATCTGTAATTGGCCCACCCAACTACCTCATCCCCATTTTGTTATTTATTTTGCTAATTTGCACCCCAGTATCTCTATTTGCACATCTATCATTCCAGTGTTAAAACGAAATTGTAACTATTTTGCACTATGGCCTATTTATTGCCTTACCTCCATAACTTACTACATTAGCACACACTGTATATAGATTTTCTATTGTGTTTTTGACTGTACGTTTTGTTTATCCCATATGTAACTCTGTTGTTTTTAAAATCGCACTGTTTGCTTTATCTTGGCCAGGTCACAGTTGTAAATGAGAACTTGTTCTCAACTGGCTTACCTGGTTAAATAAAAATAAAAATAAATGTCAAAAGCCGCACTGAAGTCTAACAAAACAGCCCCCAAAATCTGAGTTTAACTCCCACTGGGCACACCACGTCATTTCAACGTGGATAATTGGGTAATACACTGCTCAAAAAAATAAAGGGAACACTAAAATAACGCATCCTAGATCTGAATGAATGAAATAATCTTATTAAATACTTTTTTCTTTACGTAGTTGAATGTGCTGACAACAAAATCACACAAAAATTATCAACGGAAATCAAATTTAATCAACCCATGGAGGTCTGGATTTGGAGTCACCCTCAAAATTAAAGTGGAAAACCACACTACAGGCTGATCCAACTTTGATGTAATGTCCTTAAAACAAGTCAAAACGAGGCTCAGTAGTGTGTGTGGCCTCCACGTGCCTGTATGACCTCCCTACAACGCCTGGGCATGCTCCTGATGAGGTGGCGGATGGTCTCCTGAGGGATCTCCTCCCAGACCTGGACTAAAGCATCCGCCAACTCCTGGACAGTCTGTGGTGCAACGTGGCGTTGGTGGATGGAGCGAGACATGATGTCCCAGATGTGCTCAATTGGATTCAGGTCTGGGGAACGGGCGGGCCAGTCCATAGCATCAATGCCTTCCTCTTGCAGGAACTGCTGACACACTCCAGCCACATGAGGTCTAGCATTGTCTTGCATTAGGAGGAACCCAGGGCCAACCGCACCAGCATATGGTCTCACAAGGGGTCTGAGGATCTCATCTCGGTACCTAATGGCAGTCAGGCGACCTCTGGCGAGCACATGGAGGGCTGTGCGGCCCCCCAAAGAAATGCCACCCCACACCATGACTGACCCACCGCCAAACCGGTCATGCTGGAGGATGTTGCAGGCAGCAGAACGTTCTCCACGGCGTCTCCAGACTCTGTCACGTCTGTCACGTGCTCAGTGTGAACCTGCTTTCATCTGTGAAGAGCACAGGGCGCCAGTGGCGAATTTGCCAATCTTGGTGTTCTCTGGCAAATGCCAAACGTCCTGTACGGTGTTGGGCTGTAAGCACAACCCCCACCTGTGGACGTCGGGCCCTCATGGAGTCTGTTTCTGACCGTTTGAGCAGACACATGCACATTTGTGGCCTGCTGGAGGTCATTTTGCAGGGCTCTGGCAGTGCTCCTCCTTGCACAAAGGCGGAGGTAGCGGTCCTGCTGCTGGGTTGTTGTCCTCCTACGGCCTCCTCCACGTCTCCTGATGTACTGGCCTGTCTCCTGGTAGCGCCTCCATGCTCTGGACACTACGCTGACAGACACAGCAAACCTTCTTGCCACAGCTCGCATTGATGTGCCATCCTGGATGAGCTGCACTACCTGAGCCACTTGTGTGGGTTGTAGACTCCGTCTCATGCTACCACTAGAGTGAAAGCAAAAGTGACCAAAACATCAGCCAGGAAGCATAGGAACTGAGAAGTGGTCTGTGGTCACCACCTGCAAAACCAGTCCTTTATTGGGGGTGTCTTGCTAATTGCCTATAATTTCCACCTGTTGTCTATTCCATTTGCACAACAGCATGTGAAATTTATTGTCAGTGTTGCTTCCTAAGTAGACAGTTTGATTTCACAGAAGTGTGATTGACTTGGAGTTACATTGTGTTGTTTAAGTGTTCCCTTTATGTTTTTGAGCAGTGTATTTGGTGGAGACGTTGATCAATGATTACAGCTTATATTCACCCACTCAAAGTCTGCCAAGTTTGTTGAATTTCCAATGTGTTATCACTTTGCTTTCAACTATTTAAAAGCACAGCAAAGTTCAAAATGGGAATACAATGTCAGATATTTTGTTTATTTATACAACAGATGAATGTGTTAACACTCTGCTTAATTTAATAGCAGAACCAAATGACCTGGATTGCATTTGAGATTACATTAACAGAACATGGTGCAAGTGATTAATGCCATTCGAGATTTTGCACAGATTATAACAGCAATTGTGAAGCTCTCCACAGACCTAAGATGACCTATGCATGCTATCTTGAACATGCACATTTTATAGGATTACATAAGAAGGAATTTAAAGTTACAGTAACCTCAATGTGTCCATGGATGCGTTACTCATTTTAAGGTTGAATTTTACATTCGTATGTAAGATGACCTTAACTTTAGGCTATTTACAGTATTACAAAAGTAATATTGAATTGTGTTAGGTTGACAAAGCAACCAAATATCAACATTTAAAAGGAGATGTATTTACTGCTTGGATAGTTCCATCTGAGCCACTGGCTTAATCCCATTCTTTAACTTTATTTTTGGTTGAGTTGCAGACATGAATCCAACATATATTTTGTTAACTTGACGACAAGTTAATAGGCTATTTATTTTATTTCAAAAGTGATTCAGGTCTCCATTTTAACTAAAAATATAAAGTTAAAGAATAGGCCTAAATCAAATTTTAAATAACGTTTAATTTGATTTAGTCCTATTCTTAAACTATTTTTGGTTGAGATGGAGATGTGAATCCAACATATCAATTACTAATTTGTAGACAAACTCCTTCAAATGTTGATATTTGGTTGCTTTGACAACCAAACAATTCAATATTACTAAATATCATAACATTTGAAATCAACCAGAGCTTGAAACCCTAGGCCTATTGTGTTGTCTATTTTTAGTTGAATTCTGTGTTGAATTGAAACAATAGCTGTTGATGACTTTGCAAATGTTATATAGGCCTAAATAGCATCATTGATGATATATTAGTTATAAAGTATGGTCACATTTAATTTGCTCTGTTAAACCTACCCTTTGGAATGTCTTCGATAGTAACAGTGAATCTATTTCGTTTTAAGTGGAGATCTCTCAACAATTATTCTCACGATAGCACAGTCAGTGACAAAATCATAGCTAAGCAGGGCTGGGCTTGGTTAAAACCCTGGATGGGAGACCAAAAGTAGACGTAGATAGATACATTCTCCAGTAGGTGGTGCTGCCCAGCCTATTGTTATTTTTTCTGATAATGGATATAATATTGAAGATCTGATGTTGGTTTTAAAAAAAGGTACACATTCGACATTTGGTTACCATGACATAATCCTGTGGTTGAAATTTCACCCTCAAAACAACAGTTGACTTTTTCCAAATCCAATGTATTTTCCACATCACAATACATTGACAAATAGATCTGATGTTGGTTTTAAAAAAGGTACACATTCGACATTTGGTTACCATGACATAATCCTGTGGTTGAAATTTCACCCTCAAAACAACAGTTGACTTCTTCCAAATCCAATGTATTTTCCACATCACAATACATTGACAAATTTCATTGAAACAATGTGGACTTCAACCAGTTTGTGCCCAGTGGGATGTCCCTTTAATTGTCAGCTTACTTTTTGCAAGCCTTGCTAATTCGCAAATTGATCATGGAGGATGGTGTTCAGTGTGTGAAGGTTTCTGCTGGTATATCATGCAAGTTTAAATAAAAATACCTATTTATTATAAAATGACCGTCTCATTAATGTGAGAGGGCATTGGCCAGCTAGCTCACACTCAGTGAACAGATGAGCCCTGCTCCTTGTGAGTCTGAAGGCTGCTGTGGTTTAATGCTTTGATGTTAATGTGCTACACATTGGATATTTTAGAATTTTTGCATTGTAATTTCTGAAAATGTTCATAATATATCTGGCAGTAATAGTCTGGCTGTGATATTCACCTATTGATTTCTCCCGCCGGAGCGGCATCTGTTGTCAAAATGGGAAAGCTGTTCTGAATGTGGCATCTAGTGGAAATCGCTTGGTCATTTCCTGATTGCTAAAATTGTACACTGTTCGCTCAATTTCAGACTGTGGGCTGACACACCTGGTAGTACATGTAGACTGACACACCTGGTAGTACATGTAGACTGTGGGCTGACACACCTGGTAGTACATGTAGACTGTGGGCTGACACACCTGGTAGTACATGTAGACTGTGGGCTGACACACCTGGTAGTACATGTAGACTGGGTTGACACACCTGATAGTATACAGTGTCTTCAGAAAGTATTCACACCCCTAGACTTTGTCCACATTTTGTTGTGTTAGACTGAATTTAAAATTGATTAAATTGATATTTTGTCACTGGCCTACACACACAATACAACACATTACTAAGTACCACTATCCATATTTTCAAGCATAGTGGTGGCTGCATCATGCTACGGGTATGCCTGTAATCGTTAAGGACTGGGGAGTTGTTCAGGTAAATAAAGAAATGGAATGGAGCTAAGCACAGACAAAATCCTAGAGGAAAACCTGGTTCAGTCTGCTTGAAATGAGCAGTTCATGCTTGAAAACCCACAAATGTATCTGAGTTAAAGCAGTTCTGCATAGAAGAGTGGGCCAAAATTCCTCCACAGCGACATGTGAGACTGATCAACAACTACAGGAAGCGTTTGGTTGGAGTCATTGCAGCTAGAGGTGGCACAACCAGTTCAGTGTAAGGGGGCAATTACTTTTTCACATTGGTTGTTGCATAACTTTTTTAATGAAATAAGTATGTCATTGTGGTGTCATTGGTTCACTCAGGTTCCCTGTATCTAATATTAGGTTTTGGTTGAAGATCTGATAACATTCAGTATCAAAAATAGAGAATCTGAAAGGGGGCACAATTTTTCTTCACAGCACTGTATGCAAGAGAGGAGACAGAGTAGCAAGCAATAATTTTGTTAATTCAAGACTAAAGTATCCCAAAGTCTCATGAGGATGATTCAGAGTAAAGAATATATGAGTTATTAGTATTCCATTCACGAACAGAAAAGCAACAATTCAAGGAAGAACAACTTAAAGATTAAAAGTAATTTCCCCTCGTTCTCTTTCACCTGTAAAGATGGTAACATGAAAGCGCAGCTCTACATTAAAATCAGCCAGAGATCTCCCCAGTTATTTATCAGAGAGATGAAAACGGATAAAACAAGTCCTACATTTCCACAGACGTTTACAGGGGGAGAAAGTCATTTTGAGATTGAGGTGTGAAAAGACTGAAATTGACACACACATTCTGAGAAGACTACTCTGAGGATACACTACTCGGAGGACACATGTTTTTTAATCCTCTATTCATCCAGATGGAGGCAATAAGCAGACCCATAAAACTCTGCGTGTGTGCGTGCATGCAGCTATTATGTGGCCCCGAATCACTCTCAGAGCTTTATTAGAACAGACAAGCTAAGTGCTTTCAATCTCCATCAGCACCTTGGCTTTGTCCTCCGACGCTTTTATAAAAACCACAACTTTGTTTCTGTTTTAATGGATCCACACCTGCACACAGGCAAAGGGATATGAAAGTTAGAGCCTAACTGGGGTCAGGAAGACAAGGGTTGTCAGAACATCTCTGAGCAGGTGAGACAAGCCTGTCCTCTGGACGGAGGAACAACAAGCTAAATTCATGAACAGAATGTAACATTTAACATGGTTGAGGATGCCAGCTCTTACTGTAAGACTACAAATGTATTAGATGTTTATCCTGCAGGTCTAGTTCCTTCATGAGTTTAGCCTATAGCTGAAACATCACATCATGATAAACTGATTCCGAATCTACATCTCAATAAAGAAAGCGTTGTGGGGATTTAATTGAATTCATTTGCAGCCATTGTGGGAAGATCTATGCCATCAAAAGCCTCCTGTTAATGGATATTAGCTAAACTAATGGCGGAGGATGGTGGGTGGACTCCATTCAAAATGCTCAGGTTATTAGCTCTGGCTAATGAAGATAGTTGATCTGGATTTCACTGAAGTGTACATATACACACACACACACACACACACACAACTGCTGTGTTACAATGAGAGGGAGAGAGAGACTTGACAAACAAATAAGAAAACTCTGTACTTGGTGATAGGGAGCAGTATCTATGGAATGTTTTCTGTGTATTCCCATGTCCATGTTTGGACCCTTACAAAAAAAAGATTGCATTTTTGAAACTGCAGTAAAAGTCCAGTAACTGCAGTCGACTGTGGTATTTTGGTTGCAGTAATTGCAGCATACTGCAGTTATACTGCACTCTGACTGCAATATTTTTTTGTAAGGGTAACCCTCCTTGTAGCTACTGTAACTAGCTAACCCTCCATGTAGCTAGCTCACAAAAACCCTCATTGTAGCTACTGTAGCTAGCTAACCCCCCTTGTAGTTAGCCCTCTAACCATCCTTGTAGCTACTGTAGCTCGCTAACCCTCGTTGCTACTGTAGCTCGCTAACCCTCGTTGTTCTCCGATTGATTTCCCCTTTGAAGATACAGCACTTCCTCAGCCCCCTCACCCCCCTTCTTTCACATCGACGTGGAGGTCTCTTTGATAGTGGGAGAAGCCTGCGGAGGTTCTCTTTAATCATTCAAAAGCTTTATTGATGTCATTCAGGAGGTTGACGGTGTTCTGCCACAAAAGACACTCCAGAAGGAACCCTGAGGTCTCAGAGGCACAACTACTAGACATGAAACACGCAGAAGATGATATAATTACTAAATATAGTTACTTATCTCTCAAGCCGTCAGTGGAATTTATGTAGTAGGTGGCCACTGGCCAAGTTCTAACCCCTATGCGACCCCCGAGGACAATCTCTGGCTCAATGTGCCTTCAGAAAGTATTCACACCCCTTGGCCCCTTGTCACTGGCCTACACACAATACCCACTTGTCAAAGTGGAATTATGTTTTTAGACATTTTTACAAATTAATTAAAAATTAAAAGCTGAAATGTCGAGTCAATAAGTATTCAACCCCTTTGTTGTGGCAAGTCTAAATAAGTTCAGGAGTAAAAATGTGCTTAACAAGTCACATAAGTTGCATGGACTCTGTGCCATAATAGTGCTTAACATGATTTTTTTTATGACGACCTCATCTCTGTACTCCACACATATCTGTCCCTCAGTCGAGCAGTGAATTTCAAACAGTGAACCACAAAGACCAGGGAGGTTTTCCAATCCCTCGCAAAGAAGGGCACCTATTCGCAACAATTATGTGTATTCCGCTACCTGCTGTGCAGGTGGACAATAAAGATCCCCAAAATTAAATAATGCAAGGTACATATATAGTGAGGGAAAAAAGTATTTGATCCCCTGCTGATTTTGTAAGTTTTCCCACTGACAAAGACATGATCAGTCTATAATTTTAATGGTAGGTTTATTTGAACAGTGAGAGACAGAATAACAACAAAAAAATCCAGAAAAATGCATGTAAAAAATGTTATAAATTGATTTGCATTTTAATGAGGGAAATAAGTATTTGACCCCTCTGCAAAACATTACTTAGTACTTGGTGGCAAAACCCTTGTTGGCAATCACAGAGGTCAGACGTTTCTTGTAGTTGGCCACCAGATTTGCACACATCTCAGGAGGGATTTTGTCCCACTCCTCTTTGCAGATCTTCTCCAAGTCATTAAGGTTTCGAGGCTGACGTTTGGCAACTCGAACCTTCAGCTCCCTCCACAGATTTTCTATGGGATTAAGGTCTGGAGACTGGCTAGGCCACACCAGGACCTTAATGTGCTTCTTCTTGAGCCTCTCCTTTGTTGCCTTGGCCGTGTGTTTTGGGTCATTGTCATGCTGGAATATCCATCCACGACCCATTTTCAATGCCCTGGCTGAGGGAAGGAGGTTCTCACCCAAGATTTGACGGTACATGGCCCCGTGCATTGTCCCTTTGATGCGGTGAAGTTGTCCTGTTCCCTTAGCAGAAGAACACCCCCAAAGCATAATGTTTCCACCTCCATGTTTGATGGTGGGGATGGTGTTCTTGGGGGTCATAGGCAGCATTCCTCCTCCTCCAAACACGGCGAGTTGAGTTGATGCCAAAGAGCTCGATTTTGGTCTCATCTGACCACAACACTTTCAGCCAGTTCTCCTCTGAATCATTCAGATGTTCATTGGCAAACTTCAGACGGGCCTGTATATGTGCTTTCTTGAGCAGGGGGACCTTGCGGGCGCTGCAGGATTTCAGTCCTTCACGGCGTAGTGTGTTACCAATTGTTTTCTTGGTGACTATGGTCCCAGCTGCCTTGAGATCGTTGACAAGATCCTCCTGTGTAATTCTGGGCTGATTGCTCACCGTTCTCATGATCATTGCAACTCCACGAGGTGAGATCTTGCATGGAACCCCAGGCCGAGGGAGATTGACAGTACTTTGTGTTTCTTCCATTTGCAAATAATCACAAACTGTTGTCACCTTCTCACCAAGCTGCTTGGCGATGGTCTTGTAGCCCATTCCAGCCTTGTGTAGGTCTACAATCTTGTCCCTGACATCCTTGGAGAGCTCTTTGGTCTTGGCCATGGTGGAGAGTTTGGAATCTGATTGATTGATTGTTACCTGTATAAAAAGACACCTGCCCACAGAAGCAAACTGAGATTAGGAGCACTCCCTTTAAGAGTGTGCTCCTAATCTCAGCTCGTTACCTGTATAAAAAGACACCTGGGAGCCAGAAATCTTTCTGATTGAGGCAAACGTACAAAATCAGCAGGGGATCAAATACTTTTTTCCCCTCACTGTGTGTGTGTGTGTATATATATATATATATATATATATATATATATATATATATATATATATATATATATATATATATATATATATATATCCTGAGCTCAGTACTGCGCTATATCTCAGATTACCTCTACCCCAATACCACTAATCCCTAAACTTTGCATCCTAAATCTTTCCCCAGAGAATATCTCCTTACATAGAAGATAAAATAAAATGGTTGACCTGTCTATTACAAGCGAGACATTCAATTGTTCTACACTGGAAGTATGTCTGTTACCCCTCACTTTGTCATTGGTTAAAATAATTCACGTCAATCCTGGCTCTTGAAAAATGTATTTATAGAGTGAAAAAGAAAGCCCCAGAGTCTCGTGATATTTGGGATCTGTTTTTAGAATTTTTGCAAACCGTGATAATGTAGAAGCATTGGAACTGTAAATCTGTATATTCTCTATTATTTATTTTTTGTGAATATTGGCTATTGTTGAAGCGTAATCTGCATTATCTGTGACTGCATTTTATATATAATGTATTTATTTATTGGAAATGTGTTTTTTCTGTTTATGTTGGGTTGTCGTTGTTATGTCTGTGTTGGGGGGGTGAAAAACAAGAAAATTGTATTTCTGTAACTGTTGATTGTCCTATTTGGAACAAATAAATATATGTATTAAAAAAAGATACAGAAACTTTGCTCCTTTTTACCCATTCTACATACGGGTCAAGCGACGTGCATTAACTACTCCTGGAACTTTTCGTCTAAGATATCAATGTCCAACGGACCCCAGAGATAACTTTTTACCGGTGCCCTGCTCCGAAAATCAAAGCTGTTCACTTCATGCGTCCATATTTTTGCGAGCCACAACGCACGCTCCCTTTGTTCTTTAGATACACACAATATCAACATCATACCACTCCTGGTTACTTCATCTGCATCCACTTTTCCCAACGCCTTCTTCACCATCCTCAGGACTTCAAAAGGGTTTCCCAAATTAACATCCTTATCCAAATAATGTATTCAACAACAATTTTTTGCCCTTTTTGTTCCATTCTTTGACTTCACTGTTATCCACTTATCTTTCTCACTAACTGTGCTTGATGCGCTTTCAGCTTCAAACAACACTTCTGCTTCAACCATCTTAACCTCTCCTCGATCGAAGATTCATCTTCACAGAGAACGAGCCACCATGCCCAAACTAATTTCCCTCAAGCTGTAATCGCTGCCAAAGGTGATTCTAACATGTATTGACTCAGGGGTGTGAATACTTACAGTACCAGTCAAAATGCCAAGAGTGTGCAAAGCTGTAATCAAGGCAAAGGGTGGCTAATTTGAGAATCTCAAATTTAAGATATATTTTGATTGGTTTAACACTTTTTTGGTTACTACATGTTTCCATATGTGTTATTTCATAGTTTTGATGTCTTTACTATTATTCTAAAATGAAGAAAATAGTAAAAACCCTTGAATGAGTAGGTGTCCAAACTTTTGACTGGTACTGTATGTATACATTTGCTAAATCTTCTTAAAACATGTTTTCAATATGTCATTACGGGGTATTGTGTGTAGATGAGTGAGAAAAAAAATATATTTAATCAATTTTGAATTCAGGCTGTAACAATAAAATGTGGAATAGTCAAGGGGTATGAATACTTTCTGAAGGCACTGTATATTCTATGTTAATTACTAAGACAATGTGGGCAACAAAATTCCTTTATTGCATGAATAAGAGCAAGACGAGAGTGCAGCAGCAGTGATCTGGCAAAGGGAATAATCTGGTATTCATGTAATTGAAGTTGTAGTGTAGCAGTCGTCCCTGACAACATCCCTGAGCCATCACACTACCTCTGTGATGAGGAGTTACTATCAGAGGGAAGACTCACTGTGGAGGATGTCCCTCAAACATCATCCAACTAACAGCAGAATGCAGATATGGATGTACCCAGACTTTTTCCAGGTCTGTAACTCGGTCAGGTCAAACTCCTGGCCCTATGTATAACCCACCCGAGTGTGACCCGGAAGTAAAACCCTGTGAGCAAGGCGTAAACAGGAAGTGAACTCACCCTCTCCTCTTCCTCCCTGAGGTCAGGCATGGTACTGATGCAGAGCGTTACCGCGGTGATGGCCACAAACACCACCGACAGAAAGGCGAAGATCTTCCCAGGTAGTCCAGATTGAGGGTTCTCCACCATGTCGTGGAGCCTGCGCATACACCCCGCCATGCGGTTCTCCTCCTCCCCCCCCACCCCGGGGGGCCCCTGCCCATCCTCACAGCTCTGGGGGGTCAGGGTGGTGGTGAGCTCTGCTTCCTCCTCCATCCTCAGCTGCTCCTTGAGCTCCTCCTGTCTTATGCGTAGCTTCCTGAGGCAGCACCACTCCAGCCTGGTGTCCTCCAGGCCCCAGTAGACCAGCTCCTCCTGGAAGGACAGGGCACACATCTCCCTCAGCAGCCGGAGCCGCCCTGCCGCCAGGAACGTCACAATGGTGCGGAACGCAGATGGGCTGCGGTCGAAGAAGAACTCCTGGCGCCCGTCGTCGTAGTCGTCACACACCTCCATGATCTCGTCCAATGAGCTGCAGCCCCTCAGCCGGCCCAGCCGCGTCAGAGGGAACTCCTCCAGAACGGACCAGGGGATACGGTACCTGGTGGGAGAGGAAAACACAATGTTACCGCTGCACAACACCCTTGCACAATAGTCACTGAAGCAGCAAGATCTAAAGAACGTTAAAACGTAGACTATTTCTGTGCCCAGTTTATATCCCTTTTAAACCTTGCGCCGAAAGACCTCTAATTATGGACTATTGATTATCGAGTTGAACATGCCAACTCTTGATTCTATTGATACGGTACCTGATCCCGCCCACATTGATGACGGCTGACAGGTCATTCTCCTCCTGCACCTCGTTGGGCCTCCGCAGCAGCCGTTGCCGTTTAAAGAACACACCCTTCTTACTGACCACCTCCTGCTGGTTCTCCAGGGGGAAGTGAAAGGGCGTGAACTCTTTTTCCGTGCTGCCCACTAGGAAGGCCACCTCCTGGTACATCCCTGCTGCTCCTCTGGGGGACCCAGGAGGTCCTGTTTGGGAGGAGGGGGGGGGGGGGGGTTCACTGGCCGACTGGGTTGGCAGGGACCTCACCCATCCAGGAGCAGGGCTGGTCTCTGTGGAAACAAAGAGGAAAGAAAGTTCAGAGGTTTTTAGAGATGACCTCCACAGGTTTATTGGGACAAATTTGGTCCGAATCTCAGGGTGAACCAGATTCTACTCACTCTTCAGACTCCATTTATCTTCTCTCGCATCACATCCCAACAAGTCTTACATCAGCAGAAACCCAGATGCAGAGAGAGGAATTCGTTAAGTTGTTGTGGTATTTAACGCGTCGCTGAGGCCCTAAATGAGGTGCTTCTCTTTAAAATAATTGTTTATCAAGGTTCACTAAATTACAATAAATACAGACCAATTAAACTGTGGAATTTCAACAAAGAAAACAACAAACAGGTTGGTTATACCGGAGTAAAACTTCATCTTTCATGGGCCGTTGACTTTGTTTACGACAACAGAAAAAGGGCAATTAACTCTGCAGCAATAATGTCGTTTTAATCTTCTTATTCCAACATAGATTTTTACGTCAGTATAACCACAGCCGAAGAAACAAACCCTAAGATGTGGTACTTTCTAATGGCACCTTCCAGTCTTAAAACTAACAGAATGCAGCTCTGCGTAACGAGGGTTAAATGATTCATACCAAGCCAAATTAGATCACAATGAACTACTGTCAGACACAATACTCCTCTTCATGATGCTGCATTACACTCTAAAACTTTCATCAGTTTAATTTAAGAGAAGTCATTCACGAGTGTTCTGAACCTCAAAACAGGACACATTGTGACTTTTGGTGGATAAGAGGAAACATTACAAATTCTTACGAAATATTTTTTGAGAAATTATAATCACTCTCGTGTCCAATATTACAAGTCCAGTCCAAAGTCTCCAGAGACCAGAGTGTTTTCATGAGGTATTGATTTATTGTGATGTATTTTACATTATGTTGCTGCAGATGGGTGAAAACATTTCAGTCCCGTCTCCTGCAACTAAAATAGAGTGGTGAAAGATGCTAGCCTAATGACAGAGATGCTAGCCTAATGACAGCCTAATGGGCTAGGGACGAGACTTCAAAACAGACAATGATTTTACCTTGGATACAATTTACTGTTGTGACAGGGCAGACTGAGGACAGACAGTTGTGTGGAGAGCGAGAGAAACAGAGAGAAGGGGAGAGCGAGAACTACAGACAAGGTGACAGGACAGAATATATGTATTAATGCTGTTATTTGTATGCATGAAAGACAACTGCAGATTTAGGAAACCCCCCAAAAAAAACAAGTTTGAGCCATTAGTATCCATCACCTGCTGATTAAACACAGTGAAATGTGTCAGTGCGCTCCAGTGCCTGGCTGGATTGGCTCAGTAACGCTCCTTTCACACGTACTGATGTGACATCCAACGGGAAAATAAGCTCCAGATAAAATGTCACATCTTCTGCTGAAGAAGCCTTGTGTGTTCTAATGTATTTACCACGTTCTCTTTGTTAGTATCAAAGGTAAATGTAATTGCTAAAATATACTTAAGTATCAAAAGTAAAAATCATTTCAAATTCCTTATATTAAGCAAGCCAGACGGCACCATAAAAAAAAAAAAAAAAAATGGATAGCCAGGGTCACGCTCCAACACTCAGACATCATTTACAAACAAAGCATGTGTTTAGTGAGTCCGCCAGATCAGATGCAGTAGGAATGACCAGGGATGTTCTCTTGATAAGTGTGTGAATTAGACCATTTTCCTGTCCTGCTAAGCATTCAAAATGTAACAAGTACTTTTGGGTGTCAGGGAAAATGTATGGAGTAAAAAGTACATAATTTTATTTAGGAATGTAGTGAAGTAAAAATACACTGCTCAAAAAAATACTTTTTTCTTTACATAGTTGAATGTGCTGACAACAAAATCACACAAAAATTATCAACGGAAATCAAATGTATCAACCCATGGAGGTCTGGATTTGTGCTCAATTGGATTCAGGTCTGGGGAACGGGCGGGCCAGTCCATAGCATCAATGCCTTCCTCTTGCAGGAACTGCTGACACACTCCAGCCACATGAGGTCTAGCATTGTCTTGCATTAGGAGGAACCCAGGGCCAACCGCACCAGCATATGGTCTCACAAGGGGTCTGAGGATCTCATCTCGGTACCTAATGGCAGTCAGGCGACCTCTGGCGAGCACATGGAGGGCTGTGCGGCCCCCCAAAGAAATGCCACCCCACACCATGACTGACCCACCGCCAAACCGGTCATGCTGGAGGATGTTGCAGGCAGCAGAACGTTCTCCACGGCGTCTCCAGACTCTGTCACGTGTGTCACGTGCTCAGTGTGAACCTGCTTTCATCTGTGAAGAGCACAGGGCGCCAGTGGCGAATTTGCCAATCTTGGTGTTCTCTGGCAAATGCCAAACGTCCTGCACGGTGTTGGGCTGTAAGCACAACCCCCACCTGTGGACGTCAGGCCCTCATTCCACCCTCATGGAGTCTGTTTCTGACCGTTTGAGCAGACACATTTGTGGCCTGCTGGAGGTCATTTTGCAGGGCTCTGGCAGTGCTCCTCCTGCTCCTCCTTGAAAAAAGGCGGGGGTAGCGGTCCTGCTGCTGGGTTGTTGTCCTCCTACGGCCTCCTCCACGTCTCCTGATGTACTGGCCTGTCTCCTGGTAGCGCCTCCATGCTCTGGACACTACGCTGACAGACACAGCAAACCTTCTTGGCACAGCTCGCATTGATGTGCCATCCTGGATGAGCTGCACTACCTGAGCCACTTGTGTGGGTTGTAGACTCAGTCTCATGCTACCACTAGAGTGAACGCACCGCCCGCATTCAAAAGTGACCAAAACATCAGCCAGGAAGCATAGGAACTGAGAAGTGGTCTGTGGTCACCACCTGCAGAACCACTTCTTTATTGGGGGTGTCTTGCTAATTGCCTATAATTTCCACCTGTTGTCTATTCCATTTGCACAACAGCATGTGAAATGTATTGTCAATCAGTGTTGCTTCCTAAGTGGACAGTTTGATTTCACAGAAGTGTGATTGACTTGGAGTTACATTGTGTTGTTTAAGTGTTCCCTTTATTTTTTTGAGCAGTGTATAAATAGCTAAGTAAAGTACAGATACTCAAAAAAACTACTTAAGTACTACTTTCAAGTATTTTTACTTTACACCACTGATCCAGCTAATAGCCTAACCACCGATCAAGCAACATTATGGACTAAACGTTAATATCCTGTTGCTGCAGGATTATTTTGCTACAACAACATTGGTCAAATTAAGATCCTACATCTGTATGATGGACCATGTATTGATACATATAGGGCCAAATGTCTAACAGTGCTCGGATGGTTTGGGGAAGAAGACAATATCTGCAGAGATAACAGAGCATGGCTGCTGCGCTGCTCTTTCATTCATGGCAAGCTGTTCTAACATTGTGGAATTGATTCTTCCCCTTTTGGTGCTACTGGTGTGTTTGACTGAACTACTGAAACGTGGAAGCATAGTCCTGCTTCACTAACCACTTTCACAAATCCACATTTCATTACCATAAACATTCCGAAAGCCCAAAGATGGGTTAATGACAATGGTTCGGACATGACAATAAAACCAAAAATCCATTCTAATTAATTCACTCAAAATACAATAAAAGTTTGCAGGTTATAAAAGTTACTTTCCATCTCTTGCCCCTGGGGGTTATATAAATTAGTTTCTCACTCATTTACTTGGCTGCATGATCATTGTGACCTATTTACGCAGCCCTTTAATGAAAGCAATTATAAAACTGCACCAGGGGAAAGTAACAAAAAAAAAAAGGCAGATGAAGGTAGGCCTAATCTAGAGGTATTCTGAAATGTGACATATGGATCAGATTTGAGCTATCTAGTGAACCAATACTCGAAACAACCTATCTCCAGTCCTGCATTTGCATCTTTACACAACCACACAAGGCAGTGGTTGCTTTTCTATTTGTAGATCGTGATGTATGCAACGTAGGTGGTCTATAGTGTCCGTATCATGTCCTTCATGTAGTTTAGAGATAGTGCAACTACGATGTCCAAGACACATTTCCCCCTTGAGGGCAATGTTTCTCTCGCCTTTAGAATCTGTCCTGAAGGTAGTCATTTCTCCCTGCATGTCCTCATATATTACATGGACTGTCTGTGTGTGGTTCCAGGACACATAGGAGAATAGTGTCATGTTTAGCAGCATCAGCCTCGCAGACCCCTAGTCCACATCCCTATATCTCCACCCTAAACCGACCCCCAGTCCAGTCCACACATTAACAAGTTAATGAGATGTGGGAGGAATGCATAGACCTATATATAGAGAATCCATACAGGCAGTAAAAGGAGAGCCATTTGAGAGGGTAGGATCTCTTTTAAAAGGGTGTATAACCCATTGACTTGCATGGAACTCAATCACGGTCCATGATAGGTTCAAGAAAGAGTTTAGCTGAGAGGGTATAATTCAGTAGCCCACAATAGAAACCTCCTTTTGTTTGATACAATTATAGCCCCATTTGTTTTGGGGTTATACAATTATTGAGCCAAGTCGACCAAAGACCCAATACTCAGATGGTTCAAAAGCCTATATTTGAAATAACCTATAGATTAATCTTATCTAGGGAGACAACTTTAAACCTGGCTCTGTCAGATTTTGTACATCTTGCAAAAAATAACTCGCTGCCATAGCCTACAGTGTAGTTCATTGTAAGGGAAGGTTTGAAATGCATCACAATTTCTTCCACACAACATGCATCGTGAATTAACATTCGCCTAGCCAGTTTATATATCGATGGACATTAGAGCATAGACTAATTTGTGACAATAGCCGGCTAGCCTAAGTGAGCCGCGCACTCCAACGTTTAGAAAAATGTTAGGCTACTATGCAATAAATGCTGAATAAATATTTTTCAAAGTGTCTGTACAAACATTAAAATATTAATTCATGATTACCACACCTACCTGCTGTGTTCGGCTTGTGTCCATCCGCAGAGAACTTCCCCACATTTCGATATCAGTTATGAAAGCGCATATTGGTCAACATGAAATACATGCTCCAATCGACTCCGTCCTCTGTATAAATGGTCCTAACATGGTAATTGACTTTATACCAGGTGCACTCAATCCAAGGTAATGTCACGTGCTTTACTTCCGAACCATATGGAGCAAGTTTGCAGGTTTGGTAAACTTGCTGCGCACCCGCATTAGCAGAATCAAGGGGAGAATTAAAATACTTAAAACTACTTTGATTGTTTTAGTCGAATGAACTGAAATAATTGCAAAAGATTCCGTCCAAATTCATCAAAAGAGACTCACGAGAAAACAGTTGGAAAAGACGCCGCGTATTTGAGAAGAGTCCAGCGTGAACGATTGGGTGTTGCAGCACTGTGATAATTCCAATTTGAGAGCTCTGCTCTGACTTGTATAGGAGTCG